TATTTGCAACATGGTTTTGCGTGAAAAATGCTTAAATCCCGCACTTGAAAGTTAAGTCTTTAGGATTTAACGAAATTCGGGAAAATCATGATTTCAAGGCCCATAAGGCTTATCGGGTGTACTCAAAAGGCCAGTTTTTCTTGTTTTCGCCCAAATTTTACGTCCAACCCAATCAGCTTTCATTTTTTGGCCGTTTTCGCAAAGTTGAAAATTAAATCTCTGGATTTAATTAAATCCGAACCACTTACAACGGGCATTAATTACCGGTGAAGTTGAATGAAAAATGACCAACTGTGGCATAATTTGAATTGTATGTATTTTAGGTGAATCAAGAATTTGGCGCAAGTGGCAGAGTTGCAATGGGCAAAGTGAATTGTGATGATGACGTAGAAATTTGCAAACGTTTTCAAATCACAAAATATCCAACGCTAAAAGTCAGTTTAAATGGTGACGTGATGAAACGCGAATATCGCGGTCAACGATCAAAAGAGGCACTTCTGGAATACGTTCGCGATCAATTGAACGATCCGATTAAGAAATTCACAAAATTGGATGAAGTGAAAAATTTGAGCACCAAGAAACGTTTGGTAATAGCATTCTTTAAGAAACCTGATACTAACGATTATGACATCTTCCGTCGTGTTGCTGCCAACCTTAAGGACGACTGTGATTTTTACGCTGGGTTCGGTGAAGCCGTTTCGGAACTTCATGCAGGAGGTTTTTTTGGAATTTTGACATTCTATGCAATATTAATTTCGAGCTCTTTCTCATTTTTTATCTGATAATTTGAATCAAATTAATCAATAGGCGACTTTCAAATGATTTTTCACAGAACAACCAACCATTGTCTATCGCCCTGATACTGATTTATCGCATGAACATGAAGAAACGTACAACGGACGAATTCACGCCGATGAATTGAAAATTTGGGCAACGGAAAGATGCATACCACTCGTTAGGTGAACATTAAATTTTTTTGCACACATCTTTTTATAAATGAATGATTCAATTCGGATTCAAAGCATGAGCGGAAGCATTTATAAATGAAAGAAACGAGCCAAAATTTTAACCTCATCTTCACATTTACAGAGAAATTACATTTGAAAATGCCGAAGAGTTGACCGAAGAAGGAATGCCATTTATGATTCTCTTCTATCATCCGGATAATATGGGTCCAATTAAAGAATATAAGGCAAGAGTGGAAGCTGAACTCCTCCATGAAAAACGTAAATATCTCATTTTTTTCCGTAACCAATTGATTTGTGTTTAGGAAAGACTATTCTCAACCAAGTTTTATCCACAAAGAATCAATTTGCAGCGGTCAGTAACAATAATTCCTTTCATTATTTCCTATAGAGAACGTCAATTTCCTAGTCGCCGATGGCAAAAAGTTTTCACACCCACTGGCCCACTTGGAGAAAAAATTGGACGATTTGCCTCTGATTTGTATCGATAGCTTCCGGCACATGTATCTTTTCCCCGATTTCCAGAACATTTACAAGCCGGGCAAGCTGAAGAAATTTGTCGATGATTTACATAGTGGAAAATTACATCGTGAATTCCATTATGGTCCCGATCCTGTGTCGGAGGAGAAATCGGAATCAAAACCATCTGAACACAAGTCTGGAGCCGAACACAAATCTGGAGCCGAACACAAATCTGGAGCCGAACACAAATCTGGAGCCGAACACAAGTCTGAAGCCGAACACAAGTCTGAAGCCGAACATGGAAGCGAACATGAAGCCGAGCATCCATCCGAACCGCACATCAAATCGGATGAAAACGAAATAGACGACGTAGAAGAAACGCCTATAGATTCCGCATTTATCAAATTGGCACCGTCCGATAAACGGTACACATTGATTCGAAAAGATGAACTCTGATCTAATTTGCGTTTTGTTTTCATATAAGCAATTCCGACTATTAATCGGTTCATGAGCTGACGTATCGACTTTCTTCAGATACTTGTACCGCTCATTTAGAATAAAAAAAATATTACTGAATTTTCTATTTATAACAAATGATGTTTTTATTCCTTAATCGCTGGCAAAAATTTTGGGGAGTGAAAATCGCAAATAGCAGTTTATGAATTTGGTGGTTCAGTTGCATGCGCTTGGATAATTTATGGCGTTGGTGCACGATTCAGACATTGTATGTATTGATTTTGCAATTGACGATCTGCATACGACGAAGATTATTGGCTGTTTGGCTGGCTAAATGGTGAAATCAACAACAGAAAAAAAACAACACATAAATTCTCGCGTAACGTAAAAGAAACGCGGTATGTCGGAATGTCAGTGAAATTGCATCGTTTCAATGATTTATGTGTGGCAATTTTCCGATCACCTGTTGATAATTTCATCAGAAATGTATGTGCACATAAATCAACAGGGTATCAATTTCGGTTTGAATATTTACCAATTGCGCGCACAGACACACACACACACACACACACACACAAACCGTAAGTAGTTAACATAGTCAAAGGTTTACGTCCGATAAATCTAGTTACGTGTCTATAATGAAGCGAAAGTGCACCTCTGTATCACGATTGACTCTCTCAAGCAACCCAACGACAACAAATTGAAACGCAAAAGAGCAAGAGCATTGTTGTCAAAAGAAAAAGTCGAAATGCCAAACCCGCAAATCATTCTTTAACGACCGTGTGCAAACAATGAGCGATTGACACGGATTTATTGTTTATTGACTACAAAAATTGTGATTTTCAGCTATTTGGTGCATACAAAGCTGCCAATCGCACGACTTGATTTGTGTGCTCGTTGTTGTTCAACAACAAATTGATGGCGTTCTCACAGCAAAACAGTCCGTATGTATGCAGTCGATAGAAACAAGTATGCGCTCGATTAGTTTGAGCTGAAGGTCAGTTTGGCTTTTTGTTCGTGACGTTTTCTAACACGACAGAATGTGTAAACGGCTTTTCAGCATGTCAACCCATGTTTTTTTCTTCGCTTTTTCTTGGTTTCGCTCACAACATAAAATCGTTTTACTTTTGATGCTTTTGTAATGTGTTTACAGGCCTTATTATGTGTTTTACAGGCCATTGTATATTTTCATATTCGTCAAAAAGTGTTTTTTTCTCCTCCTTTCCATTTCTCGTGGTGTTCTTCAAAAGCATATTGAGCTTGAATTTAATGGGAAAAAGTAATCACTATTTTGCTAACGGGCTCAATTTCCATATGCGCTCACCGCAGAGATAGTGATGATGTGAAAATTGAGCTTAACGAGAAAAAAACTGTTTATATTCGATCGTAACAAAAATAGCATAGGTAATTTTCTTAATATTTCTGTCTCAAGCGAGCTTCATCGAATGAACTGAAAGGAAAAAAAGTCAGCTGTGCAAATGAGATTCGTTCGTTTGAGAAAATTGCGAATTGTTGATATTATCGAGCAATTCTTGTCGGCAAAATGCCGTTAATCTATTTTCGAAACTTTGCCGATACAATCAGTGTGCAAATATTTGTTATTTAGAACATTTCCATGCTCATCGCGATTCGTTGTTGCTGCTTTTTCTCTCTCCTGCATTTTTTCGATTGAAATCATACCTAATAAAGATAATTATATTTTCATAGAGCTCTAGTTAACGTTTCCTGCACGATTTCAATTTTCGACTAAAATATGAAATCGTTAGCCCATTTTTGATCTTCAACACACAGCATTTCGACTCCGTGTTTCGGATTGAATAAATTAACCGCGATTTCCTTTTTAAAAGTGCATTTTTTCTCTTTTGAGCGCGCGTAAATACCTCTCTCTCTCTCTCTCTCTCTCTCTCTCTCTCTCTCTCTCTCTCTC